AGCTGGCATCTTAACCACCAGGCAAACACCTGCCTCTATACAACTATAAAAGAATGAGTTTAGTAGATACATATTGACCTTAGTGGAATTTTCTTACTCCTAAGTGTCTACTTAAGTACTGTGTTTGCTTAAGCAGGAAACAGTTTGCATTTCTTCTTCTTCTTTTTTTTTTTTTTTTTTTGGACAGGCAGAGTGGACAGTGAGAGAGAGAGACAGAGAGAAAGGTCTTCCTTTGCCGTTGGTTCACCCTCCAATGGCCGCCGCGGCCGGCGCGTTGCGGCCGGCGCACCGCGCTGATCCGATGGCAGGAGCCAGGAGCCAGGTGCTTTTCCTGGTCTCCCATGGGGCGCAGGGCGCAAGCACCTGGGCCATCCTCCACTGCACTCCCTGGCCACAGCAGAGAACTGGCCTGGAAGAGGGGCAACCGGGACAGAATCCGGTGCCCCGACCGGGACTAGAACCCGGTGTGCCGGCGCCGCAAGGCGGAGGATTAGCCTAGTGAGCCGCAGCGCCGGCGCATTTCTTCTAATGTATGAGGAATCACACAGAGAAAGACAAGTTGGTTGGCACTGTCTTTCTCATTTATTCCTGGGATGTTTCAGATTCTGTTCAGATGGCACCCCAGGCACTGTCCAGCAGTCAAGTGGTGGACTTGAGATACCAGTTGTTCTAGCTTCCAACAATAGAAGGGGAACTTCTATTGGGGCAGTCCTCCCACCAGCAGCTGGACAAAATAAACAAAAACAAGGATCAAAAGGCCCAGCAGAGTAGTAACAAGCAGAGACCCTAAAGCAAAGTCAACACACAGAAGAAGGAAACGGCACTGGGCCTCTCTTTTTCATAGACTTGGCCACAGCAAGCAGGCCCTAGTTTGTGCCCTGGGAGGCAGCTAAAATTCAGAGTTTACAGTCCAGCCAACAGGAAGGGCCAAGTCCGGAAAGAAAGGGTTGTATCTCAGAAAACACAGATCAAGTAAGGACTCCAAGCTTCATAAACCCTTCCAAGCCTCTGGCACGCTCTGGCTATTACGGGCATCTGGGGAGTGAATCAGCAGACAGAAGATCTCTGTCCATCTATTTACCATTCAAATGAAATGAAAACAAACACAAACTTTAACAACAATGTCCTTGATGAAAGATGAAAAACCATAGACATGATTAAAGAAAAATCATAGACGTGTAAAAAAGTAGAGGAAATAAAGAAGGAATACTTACAACTTGTTTTTGAAGCCAGATTAATGCTGATGGCAGAACACTGACAAAAGTTATTGCAAACAAACAAACAGACCAATATCTCCTGTGAATGTTTATGTAAAAAACGTTAGCAAAATATTAGCAGATGGGTAATATATTCGTTATGATGAAGTGAGGTTTATCCCAGGGATTCAAGGTTGGATTAATCTTTTAGGAGCTAGGGATAGACTTATGGGAAGAAACTACAAACTTCAAGCATCAGATCAAGAAATGCATTCTACAGTTACTTGTTGAATTTACTGGTAGGGAAAACAATAGGTGATCGGATATAGCAAACAAGCACGGCTAGGAATTATCACAAGAGTTCTAGTCCTGGCTCTGCCCCCCCCACCCCAAGTATGATGTTAGAAAGGTCACTCTGCCCATCCTGGCCCTATTCCACATATGTTCAATAATGAGCCCCTGGAGTCTTTTCCAGCTCTGACACTGCGAGGTTAAGTCCTAAACTTTTGGTCACAGCTGCCTAGACTTTCTGCTCTAATGCCTCAAAAGGCAGAAGTAGAAAATGTACACGACACACTTTCATGCACGATTGCAGGTGCCATCTGCACACGACTTGAAGTGCCGAGGATTCACTTGAGAGCACCCACATGTCTGGAGGAAGTACTTTTAAATGAACTCTCTGGAAGGCATCCAATATGTCATTATATAATGGAAAGATCATGGGCGTTGAGTTCCGACCCATCTGGGTTTGAGTCGTAGTTCTGCTCCCTGCTGAATGACCCTGGAAAAGTGGTCTCACATCACTGACTCTCTGTTTCACCATCTGTGAGGTGGAGATTCCTCCTATGATGCAGAATTACTGTAAGAATCATGTGAGACTACATCAGAGGGTTCATGGATTATAGTCAATGCTCAGTCAACATTTGCTTGTATTCCCTTCTCAGAAAGGAATTAGGTTTGGGTAAATATAGCAAAACACCAAAATCATTAGAGATGTCTTTCTGTCTTCATGTAAACTGAGTCAGAGGTGGGAAACATGGGGCTTGTGTGGGAGTTTCACGGTCAGCAGGGACCCAGGCTCTGTTCTGCCATCCATAGTGTCTGGCTTCCACCCACATGACCTAAGAGGGCTGTTGGATCTCTGGCCATACCATTCACATTCCAGGCAGGACTAAAGAAAGAGAAAGAGAAAGAGTGTATTTGCCTCATAGTCTAGCCTCTTGTAAAGGGCTTTCATGGGCATGCAGCCCATGGCTTCCATTTACATTTTATGGATCTCCTCGAAATTGCAAGAAATGCCAGGAAAGAGTCTTTTTAATTCATTAATTAATTTGTTTATTTGAAAGGAAGAGTTACAGAGAGAAAGAGAGAGAGAGAGAGAGAGGTCTTCCATCCATTGGTTCACTTCCCAGATGGTCACAATGGCCAGAGCTGGGCTGATCTGAAGCCAGGAGCCAGGAGCTTCTTCTGGGTATCCCACATGGGTACAGGGGCCCAAGCACTTGGGCCATCTTCTACTGCCTTCCCAGGCCACAGCAGAGAGCTGGATTGGAAGTGGAGCAGCTGGGACTCGAACCAGCGCCCATATGGGATGTCAGCACTGCAGGTGGAAGCTTTATGTGCTATGCCACAGTGCCAGCCCCAGGGAATAGAGTCTTTTAGCAGAGCACTGCTGTCCACAAATAAAAGTGTAATTCTGTCACCAAGACACAAGGGAGACTGGGTACTAGGGGGACAACCAGCCATCTCTCTAATACTTCCTTTCCTGGTTACCAACATTCCTTCTGGGTTGCAGATCACAGCACCACCATATGGTAGCCGGCATAGCTTTGGGCTCACAGCATGGGACAATGAAGGCAGCTCTTGTACAACAAATGGTTTTGAATTCAAAATCCAACTCTGACATTTACTAACCAAGTGGTCATGGATCAGGCAGATTACCTTCTCGGAGCCACTTAGCACGTGTCCAACATTTTGTTTCTCAGATCCTGAGATTCAGGACCTGGAAATGGGTACTGCCATTGCTCCGAAAGGCCCAAGTAGGGACTGCCGGGCTGTAGCAGAATATTCATGAAAAGTAGCCATTTTGGTGAGTTGGGAAAGAATTCTGCACTCTTGGAAGGGCTAGGCTTCTACGCTTAATCTGCAAAGTTGCTGTGCCTGAAACACTGTACATGTTCCCAAATGACATGCATTGGGTTTATTTTTTATTTATTTATGTTAAAATGTCTTCTTCTAAAAATTTATTTCTGTCTGTATTTTTATTTATTTGAAAGGCAGAAAGACAAAGAGGCAAAAAGAGATATATTCCATCCATTGGTTCACTCCTAAAATGCCCACAACCACCATGGCTGGGCAAGGCTGAAACTCAATCTAGGACTCTGACATGGGTTACAGGGACCCAAGTACTTGGGCCATCATTTGCTGCCTCCCAGGGTATGCATTAACAGGAAACTGGAATCAGAAGTAGAGCTAGAACTCTAACCCAGGCATTCTGATATGAAATGTGGACATCTCAAGTGGCATTTTAACTGCTGTGCAAACACCTGCCCCTGCATTTTTTTTAAAAAAAATTTATTTATTTATTTATTTATTTGAAAGGCAGAGTTACAGAGAGGCAGAGGCAGAGAGAGAAAGAGAGACATGTCTTCCATCCAGATGGCTGCGATGGCTGCCATGGCTGGAGTTTCACCAATCTGAAGCCAGTAGCCATCTTTTACTGCTTTCCCAGACCATAGCAAAGAGCTGGATGGGAAGTGGAGCAGACAGGACTAGAATTGGCATCCATATGGGATGCTGGCCCTGCAGGCAGCAGCTTTACCCACTACACCACAGTGCCAGCCTGCATTGTTTTTTTTTTTTTTAATTTTTTGACAGGCAGAGTGGACAGTGAGAGAGAGAGAGAAAGAGAGAAAGGTCTTCCTTTTGCCATTGGTTCACCTTCCAATGGCCGCCGCGGCTGGCACGCCACAGTAGAGAGCTGGCCTGGAAGAGGGGCAACCGGGACAGAATCCGGCACCCCAACCGGGACTAGAACCCCGAGTGCCAGCACCACAAGCGGAGGATTAGCCTATTGAGCCATGGCGCCGGCCTGCATTGGGTTTTAATATGTTGCCATACTAGGTTGAGTTCCAACAGTCTCAAGCAGATAGAAAGGGAAGTAGTCTTTTTTTTTTTTTTTTTTAAAAAGATTTGTTTATTTATTTGAAAGGCAGAGTTAGAGACTTGTTCATTCTCCAGATGACCACAACTGCAGGGGGCTGGACCAGGCTTAAGCCAGGAGTCCAGAACTCCATGCGGTCTTCCATGTGGGTAGCAGGGGCCCAAGTACTTCTGCTGCCTCCCCAGGTAGATTAGTAGGGAGTTGGATAAGAATGGAGCAGCTGGGACTTGAACCAGTGCTCATCTGCGATGCTGGCAGAAGCTTAACCTGCTGCGCCACAGTGTGGGCCCCAAGGGCACTCTTTACTAATCCAGGGTGTCTACCAGGCCACACCAGGCTCTTAGTGCCCTGGGATTCTCTTCCCAACCTTTGCACCTGTGATATGCCATCTGCCTGCCCCATACAGTCCAATCTTCACATACTCAGTACCTTCATATATAAAAACAAGTAGGTTGGATTCAGTGATTCAAAAACAAATGACTCCCCCCCGCCTAGGTCTGAGCCCCATGCTAAGCACTGGAGATGCTGTGGTGAAAGACACAGGCCCACTCTCAAAGGACTAGGGTCTTGGGACACTAACTGGGAGTTGAACAGGAAGTGGGAATGCAAGGGGAGCTCCCAAGGAGGACCTTCTGCCTATGATGGCGTTTTGTGAGAGTGAGGTGGGAGCCCCTGGGTGACAGTTATGCTCTGCCCACCTGCCACAGAGGAGAAACCAGCACAGGGCCTTTGGTCACTGTGGGCCTGCTGTGCATTTACACCTGCACTAATGGACAGCAGCACACATTCTGGAGCCAGACCTTCTGGGTTCAAAACCCAGCTCTGCATTTCCTGGCTGTGTGCTTTGGGGCAAAAGCTATTTAACCTCTGTATCAATACAATGGGTTTACTTTTAGTCCCTAACCTCATAGGGTAGTTAGGAGAATTAAGGCAACTTGGGAGTGTCCAGTCTGCCTAGGTCCTCTGTCCTCTGTCTCCACCTTTTAGCCTAGCAAGTGAGGCTTCTGGAAGCAGAGAAAAGACTGGCCCCAAGGTTTGAGAGATTATGATATAATGTCTTGAAGATGTATCTGCAAACAAGAATTCCCTTCCCCACCCTGCCCCTTGTTCCTTGGATGACAGACATCCAACTCTGGCCCCTCATGTTTGCCAGGCCAGATGGGTCTGTGGGCAGTATTCAAGTCCAGGTTCTCTAGTCTTCCTCAAACCCATTTGGTGGGGCCTTTTAGAGAAGCTGTTGCCCGCCCCACCCCCGCTATGTCTGCAAAACCCACTAAATGGAGGTGCAAAAGCAAACAGACACTACTTCCCTCAACCCACCCACCTGCAAAAAGAAAAGGGGGTAGAATTTCCCGTGTTAGAAGCAGTCGTGTCTTCTCACCAGGGGCATGTTGGTCTGGATCCCCTTCCCGGCCAAATGCCAGAGGTCAGTGCTGCACAGCAGTGGGAGCAGAACTGGAGAATGGGCCCCGCACCCAAGACCTCCCCCACACCTGGCAAATGCCCTCTAACAGTGGTAGCTGGTGCAGAGGTCTCCTTAACTTAAAGTTGTCCAGAGCCTCCTGGTTAGGAGGCAGGAAAGGGCCCTCATCCCCTGGTAGCAGGAGCTGGAGGGAGGACCACACATTCAGTGGGGGCCTCGGGGGAGTTGGCCTTGGCTGAATGAATGGACCCTCGGTAGAGATGACTCCACAGGGCCATGGAGGCCTGTGAGGAGTGAGTGGGCTGCAGGGAGAAGTAGCGTCTGGAGGTCGGTGTTCATTCAGGGGTCTCCAGGTAAGGTGTCTTCCAGAGTCCTGGCACTGACTGAGCTGTGGGTCCTCACTGCACATGAGGAAGCGAGGCATTTGCAGAGTTACTGCTTGTCCAAGGCCCCGCATGGGTGGGGGAGGGCGGACGTGAGACTTTGGGGCTCCTGTCTTTCTGTCCAGATCTCTGTCCCCTGCCCCAGGCTGCCTTCCTCACAGCCCCTGTTCTCTAGCAGCCTGGCCTCTGTTGCTCTGGGTTGGACTCCTGGATGTTACTGGTGACCCAGTGATCTGTTGTTTTTAGATCAGATCTCATTCTCCCAGACCCTCCCAGGGATCCATACTCTGGTGACCTCCAAACTCTCCTTCCCAGGGCTCTGGGCTACTCAGCCCTGCCTTTCATCTACCTGTCTGCTTGCCCTGGTTCCCTTTGCAGACCCTTCTGCCTGTGGCCCTAAGCAGGATCCTTCTTCTCCATGGGTCTGCCCTTGGGCTCTTTGTCCCCTGTCCCCTTCCACTCAAGCAGCTTCAGTGCCAAGGGCAACATCCTCAACCAGCCATTAGTCCCCATCTGTCTTTCCTGAAAAGACAGACTCCTAGGACATCCTATGGACACCTCAAACTCAACACTTCCAAACTGTAGCTTTTTTCCACCTTTACTCCGATGGCTCTTATTCCGAATGGCCTACTTTTGTCAGGTTTCCAAAGTGTTCACTGCCCAAAGACCCCTCGTATCCTTTAGTCTGAAATTTGAGGACTTCCTGGTGATATTCACTTATCCACTCAGCAAACCCTTTCTGAGCATAGTCTCTATCCAGTGTTAGCTCCGGGTGCTGGAGGTTTCTCAGTGAAAAAGACGGACTTTGATTCTGCCTTTGAGATACTTATAACTGAGTGGAGGAGACACAAAATGACCCAAACCCTATATAATTTCTACTAAACAAGAGTATAGGACTGTGGTGGTGTCTGATGGGGCATGGAGGTCGGGCCAACAGGAGCAGGTTGCAGGCAACAAGCTCAAATGTGCTTTAGGAATCCCCAGCCTGTGGGAACCAGAGAAATGGTTCCTGGTGATGTACACACTCTAATCCCTAGAAACTGAGAATATTCCATGTTCTATGGCAAAGGGGAATTGGAGCTGTAGATGGCATTGAAATTGCTAATCAGCTGACCTTCCTAGGGAGATTTTCCTGGGTTATCCAAATAGTCCCAAGGCAATCACTAGGATCTGAAATGATGGCAGGAGGAGACAGAAAGTCAGGGAGAGGGAAAGGGGGAGAGGGAGAGAGAGACAGAGAGACACAGAGACAGAGAATTGTGATGACAGAGGCAAGATCAGAAAGATGCTATATGACTGGCTTTGAAGTTGGAGGAAGGGGCTGTGACCCAAATGTGAGCAGTTTTAGGAAGCTGAAAGAGCAAAGGAAATGGACTCTTCTCTGGCAGAAAGGAACCCAACCATGCCTAGTGAGATTCATGTCACACTATTGTTTTTTCTACAAATACAAGCTTCAGTTTATTAATAAAATATAAATAGCAATGTACATCTGTCATATGGGTTTGTTGTGAGGACAGAAAAAAAAGCAAAACTACAATTTCTGGCTTCAAAATTAGTATCCATCAGCATCTTAGGAAAAATAAGTATTATCCCCCAGAAAGTGAGAGTGATGTTTTCATTCTCTATAATATTGTTACTGGGAAGCTTCAACAGTTCAGTCATTCCTTTAAAGATGCATAACTCCACAGAGCACATTACCTCTGCAAAGATGAATGACACAGACACGTTGTAGAGGAGGGAGACAGAGCGGGAAAAGCAAGCAAAAGCATGCATTTAGTTAAAAAATAGCAAGTACTACAAAGAGAAGAAATGCGTGAAACCCAAGAGTACTAGTGCCTCTGAGAACGAGTGCAGGGCACCTTCTACAGGCCTAGCTGCACTGTTTATCTTCATGGATCCTAAGAGCATGCCATGCGGTTTGTTGTATTGGAGAGCTGTAAGAGGCCATGTTTGTGCTGTTTTAAGTCACTAGATTTTGGTAATTCATTATAGCAACAGTAAAAACCTAATACACCTTCATTTTAGTGGTTCCGTTCTTAAATCCGATTCATTTATTTCCACTTAGACTTGAACCCTAATTTGCCCTTCTCTCTGCTGGCAGGGTCCATCCTCTGGACCCTGGGTTCCTGAGGACCCAAGGGCAGGTGCTTGTCATGTTAGGTACAGGAGCCGGAAAAGGAAAGAGACAAGAAGGGGGTAGGAAAGGTTGGGCAGGTGCTGTGGCTCTGGACGCTGGTATGGAGCCTGAGCAGCATTTACTCTCCGTGGAGGCTGAGCACGGTGCTGGCTTGCTCGTGCTCCAACGCATAGACAGAAAGGGTTGAGGAAGCAATGCACTAACGTGTGGAAGGGCGTGTAGCACCTTGCCCAGCATACAGCAGCACGATGAACAGCGGTGGTCACCCCACCAGTTGTCATATGAGATGGTGACCAAATGTTCATGGGCTAAGGCCAGATCCAAGGAATGACAACCGTCACAGCAGGGTGGTCAAGGGTAACAAAGACACCACAGCCAGGTGCCCAATCTTCTGCCCCTCCCCTTTCCTGCGGAGGCATCGGCTCAGGGACAAGCCCCAGGGAATGGGGAGGTGGTCTAGACAGCTGGTGTTCATAAGCATCCCCCACCCCAGGTCCCAGAGGACGCGCAGCCCAATCTCTCCCTCCCTTTCCAACGTCCCTCCACCCTGGGCTGCTGGCCTATTGGGGGTAGGGTTCCCGAGGCGCGAGGCGCACGTGGCGCCAAGGCCCTGGCGACTCCCGACGCCGAGAGGGGGGCGGCACGGGGAGCTGGCCAGGGCCCCCGCCGGCGTGGGGCTCTCACTTCCCCTTGCCAACGGACGCGGGCGCAGGTGCCCAGGCCGGGCCCCGCAGGCGGGGCGGGCGCTGCGGACACGCCCTCGCCGTCAGTCCTCGCTGGCGGCCGGGAGGAAGCGCCGGAGCCGCGGCCGGTCCTGCGCCAGCGCCGCGCCCCTCCCGCCCCGCGCCCAGGGACTCGCCGGGCGCCGGCTCCGGGCAGCCGCACGCGGCGAGGAGGGGATGCGACTGCGGCCCACGGCATGGCAGCCTCAGGTGAGCTGGCAGGGCCCGGCCCTGCCCGGCGCCTCCCCGCTCGCGCGCGGGACTCGGGTTCCTTCTGTGTTCTCAGTTCTCCGTCGCAAACTTCCCACCTCCGCTGGCCCACGGCCCCCTTCGCGGCCGGTTGCGGGTTTCTCTTCACCTCCCGCCTGATCCTCCCCTGTCCCTCGTCGTCCAAGGCACTTCTGCTCCGCCTCTGACGCTCAGAGCTCCCGAGGGTCGTCTTCCCCGCTCCTTCCACCCTGCGAACCCGTAGCCCAGCTGAAAGCAGGCGGCGGGCGTTTTGTCCCCGCCGGGCAAATGCTTCTCCGGACCAAAAGGGGGCGCGCGCACAGCCCTCGGTCGGCTTTGGCGCTCGGCCGCCTTCCTCCACTCACACTGGACGTGGTGTTCCCGGTTTGGATTTCGCCAGGAACCGAGGCGCACTGCCCCGTTAGCTCCGCTTTGCATGTGTCCTTTGCAGCACTTCGGGCGCTGGGCAGAGTTTGGAGGTCACTGACGAAAGGTGCCGGGAGTCGTTTCTGGCTGGGGTTGGGTTCTTCTCGGGTTCATGGATGTGTACAGCAGCCAAATCGCTCACTCACGTCCTCGTAATGCTTAGAGATCACTGACGGGCTTGTGTGTACCTGGTCTGTTCCCCGGGGGTAAGCAGGGCTCGCCCAGGCGGTGCCCTCCGGGGATTATGGTCTTGTAAAGGCATGCAGGGAATTGCTAGGTAGGAGGAGAGTCACCACGTTTGTGAAGGGCTCGCTGGTGTCTCGGCGAGGAGGTGTTGGCAGAGATGCGACCTGTGATACAAGAAGCAAGCACCCCTTGACAGAGAACTCCTAGGGCGGCCGGGAAAAAGTATTGTTTCCGGAGGGTGTGAGCAGGTGCTGTAGGAAGTGCCTGCTCCCCCAGCTCTGCTTAGCTCCAGCCTGGTCGGGTGCTTTGGAAGTCCAGTGGTGACAGTTCCATGGGCTCTGGGGATCCAAGCTCATTGTTTGAGGGGAGCTGGAAATGAATCTCAGCTTCTGGGCTCTGGAAGTTGGAAGAAGCTGTGTTGTAAATAAGGATTCACTCAGGGGCTGGCGCCGTGGCTCACTTGGTTAATCCTCTGCCTGCGGAGCCAGCATCCCATTGGGCACCGGGTTCTAAGTCCCAGTTGCTCCTCTTCCAGTCCAGCTCTCTGCTGTGGCCCGGGAAGGCAGTGGAGGATGGCCCAAGTGCTTGAGCCCCTGTACCCACATGGGAGACCAGGAAGAAGCACCTGGCTCCTGGCTTCGGATTGGCGTAGCTCCAGCCGTAGCGGCCATTTGTGGGGTGACCCAACGGAAGGAAGACCTTTCTCTCTGTCTGTCCCTCTCTGTCTATAACTCTACCTGTCAAAAAAAAAAAAAAAAGAAAGAAAGAAAGAAAGAAAGAAAGAAAGAAAGAAAGAAAGAAAGAAAGAATTCACGCATTCCACTGGAAGCAGAAGCAGAGTTATCCAGAGGGAAATTCATTCCCACACATATTTTATGGCATGTGTCCTGTTTCCAGGGGTTGGGTGTCTATACAGTAAACAGAAAAGGCAAAAGCCATGCCCCCGTGGAGCTTTTGGAGCAGGGAAAGTTGTAATATACCTACTAAGGAAAGTCCTTGGTATGATGTGTGCTGTGGAGAATAGAGAGGGGTTGGTACTTCAAATAAAGTGGCCAGGTTAGGCCTCATGGAGCAAGGGATGTTTCATCCAGACCTGAAGGAGCAGAGGGAAGGAACTTTTGGGGGCCAGTGCTTTAGGCAGTGGACGCATGCAGTGTTTAAGGAGCAGGAGCAGGCCAGAGGGACTGGGGTAGGTGGGTGAAAGTGGAGAGGGAGCTGAGAGCAGAGAATGAGCCAGTGCAGTTCCCACCTCCTTCCAAAGCTGGGAGCAGGCCCTGGGCTGCTGCATCCAGGAACCAGCAAATTGGACAGGCCTTTGGGCAGAGGAGGCCAAGAAGGCCACTCTTGTCCAGTGTCCTGTGAGCATGGCCGAGGGCACCAGGAGGGCCAGTTCTGGTTCACGTGGTCCCCTAGCCAGTGACTGAACCTGCGGATCTTTATGGGCTATGCAGTGGTGTTTGCAGGCGTTTGCCATCTACAGGCTCTGCAGTGAGTCCCACCTGGGAGCTGCATGTGGGAGTGGGCCTCTGGGGTCCCCGAGGCTCCCTGAGGTCTGGAAGAATCATGTGGAGGTACCAGGGCTCATGGGAGACACCTTTGCCAAGATGCTGCAAGTTCTGCAGTCGTCTGGGCTACTCTCACCTATGGTCCTTCCTTCCTTCCTTCCTTCCTTCCTTCCTTCCTTCCTTCCTTCCTTCCTTCCCTCCCTCCCTCCCTCCCTCCCTCCCTCCCTCCTTTCCTCCCTCTTTGTCTCCCTCCCACCCCCTATTCTTTCTAATGTGCATTATTTTTTTTTCTCTTCTTAAATTCAAAAGGCAGAGAGAGAGAGAGACAGAAAGATTTGTCCCCTGGTTCACTCCCTAAATGCCTACAGCAGCCAGGGCTGGGACAGGCCAGAGCTGGGAGACAATACCTTGATTCAGTTATCAAACATGAAAGCCAGGGATCCAGTGCCTGGAATAATCTCCTCTCTTCCAACGTCTGCGTCAGCAGGAAGCTGGAACTGGGAACAGAGCGGGGACTTGAACTCAGGGACTCCCATATGGGATGCAGGCATCATAGCTAGGGTCTTAACCTCTAGGCAAAATGCTTGCACTTCCTTTTTTTCAAACAGCTTTATTGTGGTGTAATTCGTATGCCATACAGCCCGTCCACTTAAATGTACAATCTAGTGGCTTTAAGCATCTTCACAGATATGTAACCTCTACCATAGTCATTTTATAGCATTTTCATCACCTCAGAAAGAAACTCCATATGCTTGTCATCTTGTTCTCCCCACTTCCCCAGCCCCAAGATCTGCTTTGTGTCTGTAGAGTTCCATACTCTGGACTCTCAAATGAGTGGGGCTCTCTAGTGTGTGGTCTCTGGGGACTGGCTGTTTCCATGCAGCGTGTGGCATGTGTCAGTGCTTTGCTGCTTCATGGCCTGATCCTCTGGCCTTCCTAAATTCCCTCCTACCTAAGGGTGAGCGTTGGTCTTCTCTTTTTTAAAGGATTTTCTTCATTTATTTGAAAAGCAGAGTCAAAACACACACACACTCTCTCAAATACACACACACACACACACACACAGAGAGAGAGAGAGAGAGAGAGAGAGAGAGAGAATCTTCCACCTGCTGGTTTATTTCCCAGTGGTTGCAAATGGCCAGGGCTGGGCCAGGCTGAAGCCAGGAGCCTGGTACTCCATCTGGGTCTCCCACTTGGGTGCAGGGGCCTGTACTTGGACCATCTTCTGCTGCTTTCCCAGGTGGATTAACAAGGAGCAGGGTCAGAAGTGGAGCAGTGGGACTCCAACCGTTGCTCCAAAGCAGGATGCTGGTGTTGCAGGAGGCTTAACCTGCTGTACCACAGCACTGGCCCCTATTTTCTGAAAGACATGTTTGCTCGTTGAAATCCCAGAGAATCTTAGCTCCCTTCCTTGGAAGGGCCTTGGGTAGCAAAATAAAATGAAATGGAATTAGCCTGTCCCAGAATATTCTCTAGGTCATGGATAACATCGTATGTAGTGACACTTGAAAACAAGGTGAGAAAGAGGGCTTGAGTGGCTTTCCCAAATGATCCGTCTGAGGCTAGGGGAGGCCTAGTTTTTTCTCTGTCATGTCTCAGCTTGGAGGGGTGTGAAGAAGCCCCAACCATACCTGCTCCCTCTCTCCAAGGTCTCGGATCTCCATATCCTTCTACCACTCCTGGACTCCCAGGACCGCAGGGCTTGAAGGGACTTTGCCCGTTTTTGGTGACCTTAGCTTCTAGTGGTTCTCGAACCCTGAAGTTGACCTCTGTGAGGGACAGGATGGCTCTCCCACACTCCCTACCAGATTCTCTCTCTCTCTCTCTCTCTCTCTCTGGCCTGCTTGCTGTTCCTGTCTCACGTCCCTCTCCCGATGTGGTGCTAAACATTCACACACAGGCCCCCAGGAGAGATGCGCACACCGTGCCAGGGTCACCTCACGCCCAGGAGATGGCCCAGGCAGTTTGAGAAGCTCCCTGGCACTTCCTGCAGGCACGGTGACTCCCCGCTGCCCCCAGCCAGTCCCCCCCACCCCCTTCCCCATCCTGCCCTCCTCCTGTAGCCAAACAGTTTCCTTAAGCCTCACAAGAGCAAAGCCGCTTCCTCATGCCTGTCTAGGGCTTTGGGGCTTCTGCTTGGTTCACGTATTTAGTTTCTCTCGATACAGAAGCAAACCAAGAATGTGAGAAGTGAACGGGGACTGGTGGAGAAGTAACATGTGCTTAGAGGAAGGAAATAATCGCGGAAGAAAGGGGTGACCCCAGGCCCTGGGTCCTGTGTGCCCCAGCGCAGCAGGGAGGGGCTTCAGCTTCCTCAGCTTTCAGTTTCGGCAACAACAAACCAAGTCAGGAAGATGACAGATTCCCCCGGCCGCATCTCCGCAGAGGCAAAGTTTCCCTGGATTTTAGTCTCCGTCACAACACAAGTTAGTGACCAAGGAGGCTAAAGTATTAACTAGTCTGAGGCCCTAACCACTTCCTCTCACATACCTCTGCTCAAAGGGGATTGGATTAACTCTGGAACCCCAGGAACGAGATGGTTAAAACAGCTGTCTTCCACTAACTTCTTTGGGGCCTTTTATTTCAGTTGCCTTGTTTTAAGAGCAACATTTTGGCCAGCGCCGCGGCTCACTAGGCTAATCCTCCGCCTTGCGGCGCCGGCACACCGGGTTCTAGTCCCGGTAGGGGCGCTGATTCTGTCCTGGTTGCCCCTCTTCCAGGCCAGCCCTCTGCTGTGGCCTGGGAGTGCAGTGGAGGATGGTCCAAGTGCTTGGGCCCTGCACCCCATGGGAGACCAGGAGAAGCACCTGGCTCCTGCCTTCGGATCAGCGCGGTGCGCTGGCAGCAGTGCGCCAGCCGTGGTGGCCATTGGAGGGTGAACCAACGGCAGAAGGAAGACTTTTCTCTCTGTCTCTCTCTCTCTCACTATCCACTCTGCCTGTCAAAAAAACAAAACAAAAAAAAGCAACATTTCAAACGTGTGTTTATTTCATTTCATCTACTTGAAAGGCAGAGCAACAGAAAGAAATGTCTTCCATCAGCCAGTTCACTGCCCCAAACGCCTGGATCTGGGCATGCCGTCCTGCTGGAGAACAGCTCGAGATTGCCAGAATAATTGCCAAGATAGAACCAGAGAGCTTCTAGTATTCCAGGCCCGGCCTCCCCTATAGCAGCATCTCCAATAGTGTGGTGCATTTGTTACAATGGGTGAACCAGTGTTGATAACTTAGGATTAACTGGCCTGTACTTGGATTTCCTGAGTTCTTACAGTGTCCTTGTTCCGCCCCAGGATCCCATCCTAATGCCGTGGTGCGGCAGTGGTGTTCCATTTGTATTTACCCGCTTAATGTCCATGTTACATTTGGTAGCCCAGTCTCCTTAGTCTCCTCCGACTGTCATCTTTGCTTTTGGTGATGGTGGCAGTTTTGAGGAGCACCGGGCAGTTACTCTGTAGAATGTCTGTCTGTCAGCTGGGATTTCTCTGAGATTTTCCTCACCATTGGAGTGAAGAGGTGAGTCTGGGGGAGGAAGATCATCGAATAAGGGCGCTTCCTAGTAACATGATTCATGACTGTGGATGTCGGCCGGGTCACTAGACTGAGGCGGAGTTCACCAGGTTTCTCCTCTGTGAAGCCACTCGCTCCTTCCACTCTGTGCTCTTTGTAAAGAACTCACTAAGCAGGGCCGGCGCTGTGGTGTAGCGAGTAAAGCCGCTGCCTGCAGTGCTGGCATCCCATATGGACGCTGGTTCGAGTCCCGGCTGCTCCACTTCCGATCTAGTTCTCTGCTATGGCCTGGGAAAGCAGTAGAAGATGGCCCAAGATCTTGGGTCCCTGCACCCAAGTGGGAGACCTGGAAGAAGCTCCTGGCTCCTGGCTCAGTTCTGGCCATTGTGGCCATCTGGGGAGTAAACCAGTGGATGGAAGACCTCTCTCTCTCTGCCTCTGCCTCTGCCTCTCTGTATCTCTGCCTTTCAAATAAAGAAATACATCTTAAAAAAAAAAAAAAAAGAACTCACTGAGCACAGCCCACACTGAGGAGTTAATGCTGCACCTCCTGGAGGGTAGTTAGTCACGTCAAGTTTTTGGAATTTTCATGCATGGGAGATTTGTGAAATGAGTACTCATTTCCTCATGAACTGGGGCTTGTCATCTTAATGCTGGCTTACTTTCAGGTCATTACATCTTTCTCATAAAACTGGAATGATAGCTCATGTCACATGCTCTTCAGGGCAGCGTTTCAGAAAAGTGCTCATTGTTGCTAAGACAGCGCTGCAGGAACGACGTTGCCTTCTTAAGGGTATGGCTTTTGCTCTGAAAAATCCTCTTCTCTCTTCTTTGCTTCTTTGCCATCCATTGTTGACTGTGTTGAAACCATTGCCTATGGTTTCCTCCTCACCTGGTGTGGGACTGCAGCCAGCCCGTCTGGCTATTTAGCCTCTCTCTACCAACTGCACACATTGTGGACATGATACTCACTAGTGTGTGTGTGTCCAGGGAGGGAAGGGCGCTACCACTTCTCACTTAGGCATTCGTAACTGAATTCCAAGCAGAGTCGCTGACTTTGCATCCTTGACAATGTAGTGGAATGTAAAGCCTTGTCCATTTCCCACCTGACGGCTCATGCTCATGCACACCATCTGCCATAGCACTTCACATCAGGAAGGACATTGCCTCTTAGGTTAAATCAAGCGTGTACAGAGACAGAGGTAAATCTACTCTGACAATACCACTCCGCTTTCCTTAGCGCAAGTTCCAGAGTTGCGGAGCTTTGCCAATTTTATGCCTTCTCTGGTCCTGAGATTGTGTTCTCCTGAGTATAAAGAAGTATACACACACATAGATCTGATCATCAAAGAATTTATCTTCTGAAGTCTGCAATACTGTACATTCGAGTTTTGTCCTTGGTCTACTTAAGCTTTGGGATCAGGGTAAGCATCCCTGACTGAGCTCCGTGGAGAGCCGCGGGAGTCCACGGCGTTGTCAGAGGCCCTGGCTGCTTTTCTGCTGTCCCACACAGTGTTCTAACATTGACTTCTTTAAACATTTGTACACTTTCCCTGCCAAAGTTCTCTTTTGTAAAATATTTATTTTATTTATTTGAAAGAAAGAGAGGGAGGAGACAGGAAGAACAAGCAAGAGATTGATTGTCCATTCGCTGGTTCACTCCCCAAATGGCCACAATAGCCAGGAGTGGGCCAAAGCGAAGCCAGGAGCCAGGAGCTTTATTTGGGTCTTCCATGTGGGTGGCAGGGGCCCAGACACTTGAGCTGTCCTCAGGTGCATTAGCTGGAGCTGGAGTGGAACTGGAACTTCCAAGACTTCAACCGCCACCTGTTTGTGTTGCTGGCATTGCAGGAGGTGGCTTAACCCACTGTGCCACAACACCACAGAGTTCTTTTTTTAAAAAATATTCATACATTTATTTGAAAGAGTTACAGAGAGAGAGAGAGGGAGAGAGAGAGAGAAAGAGAGTTCTTCCATCCGCTGATTCACTCTCCATTTAGCTGCAAGCGCTAATCTGAAGCCAGGAGCCAGGAGTTTCTTCTGGATCTCCCACAGGGGTGTAGGGGCCCAAGGACTTGGGCCACTGCTTTCCCAGACCATAGCAAAGAGCTGGATTGGAAGTGGAGCAGCTGGGACTCGAACCGGTGCCCATATGGGATGCTGGTACTGGAGGCGGTGGCTTTACCCACTACACCACAGCGTGGGCCCCACAAAGTGCTTTTAAGCTCATCATCATACTCCTGCAGATGAGTGCATTGGGTTTTATGTTAGCACTGGATTAGGATCCAGCAAAGCAGGATTCCAAAAAGAATGAAACTCAAATCTTTTCCCTGGCTATTTTTTAAAAATTTGGTAATATCATCCCGGGGGAAATCAGAACTATATTAAGTTTACATTTTCTACTCTTTTCAAAAACATTTTGAATATCACGGTGGATGGGGAAGGAAAGGAGATTCCACCAGGTCTCTGCAGAGCTTGGTGTCAAGGTCTCCCTGGGCTCTGCATCTGACCTTGCCAGGAACCTCTCAGTGAAATGTGGCACGAGGCTGGCATTTTGTCATGAGAACCCATGACGGCTTCATGCGTCAGCTTTGCACAAGGTGCACGGACACTGTGCTCACTCCCCCCGCCCCACCTGTCCCCAGTGGAAACAGCACGGTACGTTTGGGCAAAGACAGGGTCTGTGAGTGGGGAAAGAGGTCACACACATGGGCTGGAGGCAGACTGCCCTTCCCCTTGCCTGGGTGCTGTAACTTGCTGGGGGTAGAGAGCCAAATGGGAGAAGCAGGTGTGGTAACACGCCCCCACGCCTCTCTTTCCCAGGGGTGCTGGGAGGATGCGACATCCTCATCGTCTACAGCCCGGATGCCAAGGAATGGTGCCAGTACCTCCAGGACCTTTTCCTGTCCAGCCGGCAGATCCGCAGGCAGAAGATGCTGACGCACAGGCTGGGCCCCGAGGCCTGCTTCTCCGCCGAGGACCTGCACCTCTTCCTCAGCGCCCGCTGCGTGGTGGTGCTGCTGTCAGCGGAGCTGGTGCTGCAGCTGCGGCGGCCGGCCCTGCTGCCCCCATTGCAGAGGGCCTTCCAGCCTGCGCACCGCGTGGTGAGGCTGCTCTGCGGCGTGCAGGACAGCCCTGAGTTTCTGAACTACTTTCCAGATTGGGCCCACTGGCAGGAGCTTACCTGTGACGACGAGCCCGAGACCTACGTGGCGGCCGTGAGGAAGGCCATTTCTGAAGGTGAGCCATTCTTCTGAAGTAAAGGCCAGCAGGCCCCAGGAAAGTAGCTACGCAGGTGCCAGGCAGGGCTCCTGGGAGCACTGGTCATGCGTACCACAGGCGGCACAGGGAGCGCACTCTCCTTGCTGGTTCGGAGTGGCCTATTCACAGGAGAAGATGGAGACTGCATAGGTCTCCTGGACCTCAGGTGGGAAAGACAACACTTTCCCCTCCATCGTGTGCTGGGGCAATAGCCTTCTTTCTAGAATTTTCTATGCCTTGGACATGGGTTCCAGCCTAGAGGGCCGTGGAGAGGCGGGGCTGAGACTTGGTTTGCAGTCTGTGTGAGGAGCATGGCTGAGGCCTGCCCTCCTGTTTGCGAGACCTTATTGTTTGGTTGCAAAGGCATCCCTCGTGGAGAGCATGTTCATGGGGAAACAGCTCTCTTTTTTTCTGTTTCCTATCAGCCTAGCTCTTGTCTTTTGCCCCGTTCTCATTCTTAAGTGGGAAAATTCTAGCCCTCTCTGCCCAGGCTAGCAACTTCTGGGGCCCCAGGAAGTATGACATGCACTCTGATTAAGGGTACCGGAAGACGGGCTCCAGGATCGATGCGTGTCACAGCTCTTCTTCCTCTTTTGGTTTTCTATTTTTGCCTCGCTGTGGGCTGTGAGTGGGCCGTCATTTACCTCCTGCTGTCTCGCCATTAGAGGTCTTTTATATATACCTGACACCGGCAGAGGGGCTCGGTGATCCCTGGTGTGGCCTGGGCATTGGCTTGACACAGCCACCCCTGCCCCATCCAATTAACTGAAGTCAGAACTTACTGATTCCCAGTGACCTTAAAAAGATGATGTCACTTCCTAGGTGCTTTTTTCCCCAGAACAGGCCACCCTAAACCAACAAATATGAGCAGCTCTCTTAACATAGAAAGAGCCCTGCTCCTTTTGTAGGGTCCGTGACTGATGCCAATGTGCAGCTGCGTGACCTGAATCGCCTGGGATCTGGATGCGTAGTTTTCTAGGGTTTGCACATCTTTAGGCGAGATAGTAGGGAAAAAGCACACAATTCCTGCTGACGTGGTTGCACTGCACTGCTCGGAGGGCACTGTGATCTGCCCAGACTGACAAAGAACCAAGACCCCACTGGCTGTTTGTGCCTATGCATTTGTGTCACCAGCTTGTCTGGCTGTGACCCCCTGGGCAGGTGGCTGTGACCCCTCAGCCAGTCTTTCTGGGCAGGTTGTCACTGCTCTGGCATCTCGCACTGTACAGCACCTGCTAACAGATTGTTCTTTCAAATATTATGGCAGTGTTATTTTAAAAAGTGGATTCTTCTAGTATTATTGTGATGCAACCAATGAGGAGATGACTGGATAAACTGATCTTTTCTAATGTTTTACTTTTTTAAAATTTTATTTTTTAAAGATTTTTATTTATTTATTTGAGAGGTAGAGTTACAGACAGTGAGAGGGAGAGACAGAGAGAAAAATCTTCCATCTGCTCGTTCACTTCCCAAATAGCCACAATGGCCAGAGCTGGACTGATCAGAGGCCAGGAGCCAGAAGCTTCTTCCAGGTCTCCCATGTGGGTGGAGGGGCCCAAATACTTGGGTCATCTTCTACTGCTTTCCCAGGCCATAGCAGCAAGCTGGATCGGAAATGGAGCAGTCGGGACTCGAACTGGTGCCCACATGGGATGCCTGCACTGCAGGTGGAGGCTTTACACACTATGCCACAACACTGGCCCCAGTGTTGTACTTTTTAAAAGATTCTGGCACACCAGGCTGTGACCGTTGGGCTCAGGTGTTTCAGAGAGAATGAAGTATCTCATGGTGTTCTGTTCTGAGAGCACAGAATCTCTCATCAGGAAAAGTTTATTCTAATGGGAATTAAAATAAGCTGCTTGATGGGAAACCTCTGAAGTTCAGATTCAATGGATATAGGGACAAGAGGAATTATAGGAAAGAGAGGAGGAGGAAGGAAGGCCTCTAGCCCCAACAGAACTTTCTTATCTGGTAGTAAGCTTGTGGGATTTGAGGTGTCTGTCTTTGCAGGACAGTGTGTTGTTTTTTTTTTTTAATTTTAAAGATTTATTTTTTTTTTTATTTGAAAGTCAAACTTAGAGAGAGAAGGAGAGGCAGAGAGGGAGAGAGAGGTCTTCCATCCGTTGGTTCACTCCCCAGTTGGCCACAATGGCCGAAGCTGCGCCGATATGGAGCCAGGAGCTAGGAGCCTCGAGCCTCCTCTGGGCCGCCCACATGGGTGCAGGGGTCCAAGGATTTGGGCCATCTTCTGCTTTCCCAGGCCCTAGCAGAGAGCTAGATCAGAAGTGGAGAAGCCGGGACGCAAACTGGCGTCCATTTGGGATGCTGGCACTACAGACGGCAGCTTTACCTGCTACGCCACAGCTCCAGCCCTGGTATGGGTTTGTTTTTTGGGCTCCTTTATGCCTTTGGCCAGTGCATAGGGCCATATCCCTAATTTTTACACTGGGCAAGTTTTCTTAACAAACTTGTCACTAGTAGTCTGGCGGTGCAGTCCGTGTAAGGAGCATTGAACAGGGTAGGGATTCTCCCTTACCTGGCTCTGTTGGTAGCTGTGTGCTCGGTGCTAGTCCAGTCACCTGGCCTCCTGACCTCCTGTTTCCTTCTCTGTAAGGGGCAACCTTGAGCTTGATTTGGGACACTTCCTGGGGCTAGTGATCTATGACGCACTTAGACCAGAGAGTCTTCAACATTTTCAAAGTAGCACTTTCTTGCTCCGGTTCACACTCCCAGGAAGCTCAGAGCTAAAACAGTGTTTAAGGACAGTGGTACGCCTAAACTAGGTTTCTGGAGGAATTGTGTTCTTAGTTACTGTCCCTATAACTTGTGATAGTTTCATCTTTATCTTGATTCTCTTGTTCACATGAGGTTTTCCCAGGGTACTCAACATCTCATATAACTCTCTACCACAAGCTGCCCCATTCTCAGGAAAATTAGATACCTGAAACCTGTTTCTTTGACTTTCTGTGATTAACAATAAATCTCAACAGGAAATGTAATGGAAAGTTAAAGAGGATGCACTAATGGTGGCGAGGGTCATTGTGGCGTTGCTGATTGGAGGGCTGTCGTAAACCATAGGGAGGCGAATTTCGGGAAGAACTTTCTAATCGTTAGAGTGGTGTGAAGGTGAGGTGGTAGCCTTCGGAGGCAGAGAGCACCCTGGGGGTGTGGCAGCGGGGTCTGCTTTGGAAGCCTGATGGACCACGTGACCCTGCAGCATTTTGAGGATGAAGTTCCTTCCAAGAAGCTCCTCTTCTCGCAGGAGCGCGTCTACTCTGAATTCAGTTTTCCTCTTTTCCAGGTCTTCCTGGCGGTTCTGAGTCCTAACTGGAGAAGTCTTGATTATGTTCCTCCAGGGAAAAAAGACCCCAATTCATAACCTATGTGATCTTTTAAAAGGATAAGCCTTCTGGGATCTTTGTATCTTCTTAACTTTGAGGTACCTTTTTTTAAAAAAAATTTTTTTTTATTTATTTATTTGAAAGGCAGAGTTACAGAGAGAGGGAGAGAGAAGGAGGGGGAGAGAGAGAGAGAAAAAAAGGAAGGGATAGAATGTCTTCCATCCACCGATTCCCTCCCCAAATGACCACAACTGCTGGGACTGCTCCAGGCCAAAGCCAGGAGCCTGGAATTCCATCTGGAGTCCTACGTGGTTAGAAAGGGCCCATTGTTCTCTGGCTTCTCAGGGGCATTAGCAGGGAGCGGGACTGGAAGCAGAGCAGCCGAGACTGGAAGCACATTATGACATGGGATGCTGGTGTTGCAGGTAGCAGCTTAACCCTCTGCACCACAGTGCTGGCCCCTGGTTCCCATTCTTTTTTTAAAAAAGATATATTTAATGAGATAGCCACTGAGCCTTTTGAATTGTAGGCTTAATTTTAGACCATTTAATATTTAGAGATGAAAAGCTTTGGAGAGTAGAGCTGCTAATGGAGCAGGGGAGGTAGTTGTTCCTGGAACTTAGATCAAAGGTGGCTGCAGGTAGTCAGCTACCCTTTCTGTTGCTGCTGCATTATCTATACAAGGGCTTCTCAAACTTCACTGTGCATGGAAGGACAGCCAATGTGCTTATTCTGATTTGGTCAGTCTGGCGGGGGCCCAAGTTTCCACATATCTGATAAACTCCCAGTTGTTGCAGCTGCTAGGGGTCCAGGGGCCTGCTGGACAGCAAGGGTCTGAGCCACTCCTCCCTTGTCACGTCACTGGTTGTGAACAGATCGTTTTCTCAAATCTTCACTCCCTGAAATGGAAGCAGCATCCCATCAGGGCAGCACCAGGATACTCATCCATTGGGTACAAAATTAGGCTGGTGTTTGGGGTCCTCAGACCATCAGACTTCAAGGTGGAGCTTCTGAGTTCTGCTCCTGAGTCTGTGCACAGGGGGTTCACACTGGCGGATTTTAATCTCTCAGTTTTCCAGAGGCCATCGGTCCTGACTTTGGGGTAGGGATCCTGTTGCAGTCATGATCCTTACTCTTCATTTGAGAGGTCCTCTCATCATAATTGCTCTTCCAATAAAAAAGGTGTTAGAGGTTTTATTTTATTTCCCACCCCCTCTCCAAATTTGTCAGCCACTGCCGATGTTTTCAGTGCAGTCTTCAGTGTGCAGGAGCACTCTGCTTGTTTCCCAGGTTCTTCGTCTGTGAAACCATGAGGTTGGAACCAATGATTGGAAAGATTCCTTCCAGCCCTCTGCACTGTAATCTATCAGTTTTAGTTTCCTAAGGCGACAGCAAACCACCCAGAGCCTTGGGGCTGGTTCACTTGAGCTCCACAGTGTCCACAGGGACCTATGCCACCGCATCGGGGACTGGATGGTTGTTTCTGAAGTTTTTGGAACTTATTGCTTGATTATTTTAAAATAAGGAAGTGAGAAAGCTCTGGTACAGCACAGAAATTATTTCCTCTTTCTACTGGAGCTCTAAGTTTTGCTGCCAGTCTCACTGGAATACAAAAATAGATTCTGTTAGACTGTGTGTGAAAGGATGCGGTGGGTGCTGCTGTTTTATTTCAGAAGTTTCCCATCCGTCTGTGTGTTTGTGTGTCTGTGTGTGAGTCTGTGTGTGTCTCTGTGTGTCTGTGTATGTGTCTCTGTGTGTCTGT